GGGACTACAGGTATGTGACACCATGCTTGGCTAATTTTTAAATTTTCTGTAGAGATGGGATTTTGCTATATTGTCCAGGCTAGTCTTAAACTCCTGGGGTCAAGTGATCTTTCTACCTTGGCCTCCCAAGTGCTGGGATTACAGGCATGACCCACTGGACCTGGCCTGCCTTATTTTTCTTTATGGCATTTATCACTAACTGTCATAATAATTATTTTATAGTAACTAAATATATGTAGGTTGAATTATTTGTATAACACAAAACCACCATATTTTGGTAAGTTACATTTATTTAAAATATAACCAACACATCTCTTAAAAAGTGTACCAGCTTCTTAAGGTTAGTCAAATAGTATTTATCAACCTACACAGTTCTAAAAAAAAAAAAATGGTAAACATCAAAAGTTTGAAGGTCAAGGTAGGCATTTATTTACATCTTCATAATGTATCTTTAATCATCATCACTGCGGTCTACTACAGGCAGCCCTTGTGTGGAAACTGGGGATACATGACCTACAGGATACAACCCCTGTGTTCAAGAAGTCCACAGCCTGTGGCAAAGTTTGCACTTTGGAATTCAGTATTTTCAAATTCATTCTTCAAGATCTGAGTCATTCCTGTAAATTAAAATATTCTATTTTACAGCTTGACATATTGAACAGGCAGCAATAAAAATGAATCGTTAAGGACTTTATTATACTGATAAAAGTCATTTGTACCATTACATAATTTGCATACTGAAAAGGTTCATACCATCATCAAGTAACCTTTTTCAGCTTTGATGTCAAGCCAAATGAGAGATACAAAGGAAGGAAGGACTTCTTCAAGCAAGGATGGTGATTGTCACAGCTTAGTATCAAAGAACTGGGCAACTGTGCCCCCGTCATTCAAACATGAAAAGGGAAAAAAAAAATCATCAATAAAATGAACTCAGTCATGAAACAAATGAGCAGGACAGGAGCAAAAGCGGAAGGAGTGGAAGAGAAGAAAACAGCAGCATGAAGTGGAGGCTCGCAACTGTAGACGAGAAACTCATCCTGCGAGTGGTGTAGTGGCAGAAAGAGCACAGATTTATATGGATTCTAATCCTGCTTCTATTACTCATTAGCTAAGTCATCTAGGACAAGATATTTAACCCCAAAACCCTAATTTCCTACCCATAAAATAAGTTTATTAAAGACATTACACCGCATAATGTGAGAATTAAATGAAAGGACACTTGAGGAGCAACTGGCGCAGTGAAGACACGTGCAAGTGGCAGCTGTCACAGCTGACTCCCCATTTATCCAGGAGGCCTAGCAGAGCATTTTCTGGTAGCCCCAAATTAGCTGAATGCCCTCCTTTCATATGTTCACTGGCAATGTTTCCAATACTCATTACTAATTTTAGTTCCACTTGAAAACCTGGGTGTGATGAAGCTCACAGCAACAAGTTGCATTATTATTCTTAGAATCATCTTCCGGTTTAAGTAACACCAAAGGTTAAATAACTATGCACCTTCCAGCTATAAAATATATGCAAGGCTGAATAAATACATATCTATCTCAAGGGTCTGGATACAGAAGCTCATCTGCCTCCTAAACTCTGTAACACTTGGAGGATCATTTGTTTATTCTTGGGACAATCATTTACTGAGGCTCTCTGTGTGTGGGACCCTGATCTAAGGGCCGAGTATGAATTAAGAACAGTTGCTGCACTGGGACTATGGTAAGAAAATAAGACAGATGCACAAACAACTAAAAATATGGGATTACTATTTTAGCCCATGAGCTATTGGATGTGATTAAATACTCCTGAACTACAGCCCTTTGGTGAGATATTTAATGGTGAGGTACTTGCAGTGTAATGGTATCCATGTTGACACCCACAGAAGGATCTGCTTGTGGCTTAGATTTCAATACAGGAAGTTCCTTTGCTGATAATGAGTGAATATTGTCCCCCCATTCATAAGTAGTATATAAAATATGAAGATGACTAATACATCAGGGTGGAGAACACAAACAGTGAGAAGCCATTCCTCCTAGGTTTGGAGGTAAACAGCAGGAGGCATTTGCAGACTGTTATTCCAGGCGAAACCAGCCTAGGAGAAGGTAGGCCCATAGTAAACAATCAAAAAAGCTTAGACAAGGCAGGCAGAAAACACATCCAGACCTCAGCAGAGATGATTCACATTGCTACACCTGTTATCAAATATTTGCACTACTTGCTTCAGAAGGAGGAACTGCCAGTTAGTATCTTTTTATAGTTTTGGGGTACATATTTATAATTAATGTATGTTAACAGTTTACAGTTCTTGTTCTTAACAGGCATATAATCTTCAACTTTTGCAGTACTGCATAAATTCTCTAAGTCTAAGAGCTCTTCTGGGTGCTCTTAAGGAAGCTCTTAGGACTGTGGGCTCCTACAGGAACACCAGGTGAAGAGTCCAGCAGGATTAGAGGACAGATTAGGCGATGGGCCTTCTGGCCCCTACTCAGAGGGCTAATGTTTCCCTTTAATTCTGCCATCAATTATAATTGAATGTAGTGCACATGGCACTGAAGATGCAGCACAGGCAACACAGGACCATCAGCTGATCTAGCAGGAGCCACTTTCTGTCTGGGTCTGCTACTTTATAACAAGCTATGATGATAAATAGCACAAGTGTTGGTTGAATGAACCAAAATGAAAGTAATTCAACATTTCTGCATCGAGTATGTACTTAGTGCTTTCTATTTTATTTACTGATCACATTATCCATGTCAAGTTAGTATTTATATGAGTATTCAGTTTTACAGATGTAAACACTGAAGACCTACCTGAAACATAAGCAATCTTTCAAGGTCATCTGGTATTATAGGTAAAATAATTGTAATCAGTAAGTCAAGAAACTGGTATTGTTTGACCTTGAAGCCTCTGCTTTTTCCACAAAGCCATAATAAGTCTTGACACATGAGCAGCAATTGCACAAGTGAAGAGGAAAGGGTGTTCCAACCAGAAGAACGCCCAAGAGCAGAGGAAATTCTGTAACTCCTAAAAGGTGCTACACACAGTATAGTAATATCATCTCAATTACTAACATTGACCCAAAGTTGTTTTTTAAAAAATAATATTTCTATAAAGCACTTTGAGAAAACATTTTTAAATGACAACAATAAATTACGTGTCTCCATTTTACTATTTGTTATTATAAATAATTTATATTTAATGTGAAACTACTAGAAAAAGCATCTCAGATTAGACAAAAGCAAATGTATGGGGAGTAATATTGACGCATGAGCCAAAGAAAAAAGCTACTTTATCTTGTTTTCTCTGTGTAAATTACATTGATATGTCACTAGAATGCAAGGCCAAGTAGAGTGGTTGATTATATAAGCATTATTTGCATTAATGCAAATACATGAATTTCATCAAGCCTCTTATAAACACACAGGTGTAAGTCTTGGCACAGCAATCAGATACCCTGCTGCCAGCCTGAGTAATTTGCCACATGGATGCTTATATTGATTTTTCCAGGGCAAGGTGCTTTTATATAGTTGTTGCTAATGGATTTTATATTAGTGACCTGTTAACCAGTACCTCCTACATTTCTGGAACTAATGTGTTAGGAAAATCTATGGATTTAACATAGCCTAGAAATCTATTTCATAAATTTGATCACCTCTAATATAGGATTTAAAAAAAAAAATCTGAGCAGATGAAAAGCAGGAAATTTCAACAAAAGGCAAAGTAAAAATTAAAACTGATATTTTATTATGCTGGAAAGAAACCAGAAATGCCTTTCATAAGAGTGCTGTGTTTTGAAAGTAACGCCCATGTTAGTGTAAAGTAAACTTCTCTGTTTATAGGTATAGTTATAAGAAGGGTTATTATTATATATTTATGTTATATATATTTTTTTATTATATAAAATACATACTTTATATATTATACATTTTATATCATATATTTTTATATGATATATATAATATATATAGATTCATATATTATATATATTATATAATATATATAAATTCCTATATTATACATAATATGTTATATATATTTATATATTACCAGATTTCTATAGACTGCTCCTTCATATTCTGTTTTGAAACTTGCGTATTAACCAAAAAATTCCATTTTCAGAATAAGCAAGTCTGTGGTTTTACATAAGGACCTTATGTCTGATTTTAGACAATTCGCTGAATTGCCTTTCATCTTAAGAACATAGATTTTGTTAATAATTATAAAAGTAGTCTGCCAATAATTTTAAATCCTTGGGTGAAAGAAGTTTTAGTAGTAACATCTTCTGAATTCTAGATTTCTTTTCCCCTTTTATCTTGTTTTGAATCTCAGTTTCAGATAGAAAATCCCAATCTCTAAACTCCTTCCTTTGCCTGTCCTACTCAACACAGATGTGGCTACTGCATCTTCTATTGTAGCTGTTTCTAATGAAGTTACAAAGTCTGAGAAGTCCTAAAGTTGCTATAAAAGTAAAAGCCAGCCGGGCGCGGTGGCTCACGCCTGTAATCCCAGCACTTTGGGAGGCCGAGGCGGGTGGATCACGAGGTCAAGAGATCGAGACCATCCTGGTCAACATGGTGAAACCCCGTCTCTACTAAAAATACAAAACATTATCTGGGCATGGTGGTGCATGCTTGTAATCCCAGCTACTCAGGAGGTTGAGGCAGGAGAATTGCCTGAACCCAGGAGGCGGAGGTTGCAGTAA